AAAAAATATAAGAAAGTGCTTCTGTATGCTTTTGCTGCCTGTACACAAAAGTTGTCCAGAATTAGTAAGCTCTGATAAACTGGTCGTTTATTTTACTTTGAGTGAAAGATGGCAGCAACAGTGAATGCAGGTAGTAATTTTTTGGGTCAATGATGAGCCGGCATGTATTCTGAATCTAAAGTTGATTATTACTACTTTAGCTCTAGAGTTACTCTGAGACCTGAAAATTACTTGAATCTTGACTAAGAGCTTTAATGCTTTAAGTTCTTTTTGGTCAGATGCTTGTAAATTTTAAATCGAAGGTTTTTTTGTGCCAAGATGAAATCAGAAGTGAAATTCATGTATTGAATATATGCTTTGGGGTAAAACATTGAACAGTAACTATTAATGAGGTCACAACTTTTCTTATTTTGAAAGGGCACTCCACAAAAGGATGTCATTATCAAGTCAGATGCACCTGACACTCTGTTATTGGAGAAACATGCAGATTATATCGCCTCCTATGGCTCCAAGAAAGATGATTATGTATGTATGGTTTTAAAGTTCTTAAGTATACCATGGGTATCTTAGATTGGGGGGGTTATCAAATTCAGTCATGTTTCTTATCAATATTGAGGGTACTTTGCCAGATAAAATAGATTGGGGCTTTGAGGCACAAATGGGTTTCCACTTTTATAGTTGGGGTAATAACTTTCAAGGTCAATGATGTTTTGGCATGTATTACCTGACTATTGCTGATGTGTAATAACACTTAGCTCTAGAATTACGCTGAGACCTTGAAAAAGTTTTACCTTACATTTTTAAGCTTCAAAGATTAATTTTCCTCTCTGGGACAGTGTTAGCAAAAAGTGATAAGCAATATATTACAGATATTTTTCCCTGTAACATTTATTTAAGTGTTTTTAGGATGTTTTCATACCCCTATAGTTAAAATACTTAATAGCAAGCATAAAGTTAGTATGTACGCAAGTACTTTTTTCCATGTATGACAGACGTGAAGGGATGGGGCTTGACTTCTGTCTCCTGTCCAGCTTTAAAACTCTGCATTTGGGTTGGTAGCTCACCTCATTAATATGACCTAATTGTCGTAGACTGACGTGCACCCACAGGTATATGTCAGTACCGTAGGGCTAGTCCCTTATAATGAACAGTTTGTTATAGTCCCTTGGTTGGTCCCCTTAACAGAGGTTACCCTGTTACGGGTAATACGGTATCATATCAGGTAATACTGTATTACCTGATTATGAAACTTGTGAAATGTAATGCATCGTGGCTGCAGCACGTACTAATGATTATGTCTCATTAATGAGCTGCTGTTGAAACTGGACATAAATACCGATCATGCTGAAGTCACTTTGCTTTTCATGTGGATTTATCATAGTTTCTAGGTAATTTTTTTTCTTATGTAACAGTTGTATCTGAAGATGGCTTCTAACTTTCAGGGCCACAAATTTAACACATGAACTACTTCTATGAGAGTTGTATTGAAACACGTTTGAGTGCAGGGCCTCATGAAGCTTATACAGCTCCTCAAACATCTCTACCTTGGGAGCCTCGTGGTGCGCAGGCTACTGATGCTGCCATGCTGTAGTATACATGTTATGTGACAGGTGGTTCCCTGGGCAAAACTGCAGAAATTTTTCATTGTCTTAGAAAGGATCATTCTGTATACTTAGATTTTATTCTATTTTTGTAGTAAAACACTGACCCCAAGTATTAAATGCATTACTGGTTAATGATGTTGTTAAGATCAGAAGTACAATATAGTATAGCTATTGAGTTAGCTTTGTGTGTTTAATCTCTTTAACCTTCATCAGTTCAGACTGACACATTTAAGAAATTGTGTATTTTAGGAATACTGCATGTCTGAGTATTTGAGAATGAGTGGCATCTATTGGGGTCTGACAGTAATGGATCTAATGGGACAGCTTGATCGCATGAACAGAGAAGAAATTCTGACATTTATTAAGTCATGTCAACATGAGTGTGGTGGAATAAGTGCTAGTATTGGACATGATCCTCATCTTTTATACACTCTGAGTGCTGTCCAGGTAAGTAAATGCTGCTTGATAGTGTGTTCTCACTTAAGAATTGGGAATTGAATTTACATATATCTGAGGAAGGTGATGAAATAAGTATCTTAGGACAAAAAATTTCATTGCAAATGAAGTAGTCCCACAAGGTCGGTGATGTACTGGCATGTATTAGCTGACTGCACAGTTGATGTGAGCTCTAATGTGACACTGAGACCTTGGAGGATAAAGTTTGTGTCTTCGGTTTATGTAAATGTTTAAAAATCACTAAATAGAGTTATTTTGGTCTTTGTGAAGATCCATGAGGTGGGGTTGAAGTCTATTTCTGTATATATGAGTTAGTATATTTGAGAATCGTAGAATACCACATTACAATTTATCTGTAGAAAAATTATACTTCATGATTAAAGTTTTTAGTTTGTTGATAATACAGTTTTTTAAGTAACATGGTGGCCTGCCTCCTTGAGATAAGGTTTTAATTTATACATAGGCAAAAGGACATGCTTGATAACTTAAAGGGAGTTGATGACAGCATGAGAATAAACTGAAAGCAGTGTTTACCTCATATTTGTCTTTGTTGCAGATTCTTACTCTGTATGATAGTATTAATGTTATTGACGTAAACAAAGTTGTGGAATATGTTCAAAGTCTACAGAAAGAAGATGGTTCTTTTGCTGGAGACATATGGGGTAATGTTAAATTTAGTCCATGCTACCCAAAATACCAATATTAAAAATGCCTTGGCTTTGCTATTGACCTTTTTATAAGGAGATTTTAAGTTTATCATCTTTTCAGGTCCCACTAAGCAGCTGGTCTAACTGGAGTTAATGGTCTGCTGGAAGTTCCAGCATGCACTGTGGTAGTTATGTCAGCATACAAGAGCACTGGAACAGAGGGGGCCAGTTAAGGTAGGTGAATTTTTTTTCCCCAATATTTGGTGGCTTTGTAAAGTTTTTAAACTACTTGCTGGAAAGGGAAACATCCTCAAAAAACTTTACAAACTTACTGAATATTTGAGTGGAGGGAGGGAATAGAATTTTATTTGATAAATGTAGCTAATCTCTGCTTTAGGGATGAATACAGTGCAGGACAGAGAGACCAGCTGCTTCATGGGATATGAAAATCTACTGTGATAATGTGGAGTACATTTATTTGCCTTAGTAAAACTGAAGTAGTCTTTTGAGGTCTTTTCATTTCTTTTTCTGGGAATTCTGTAAGCAACCTAAGAAAATTTGCTGTCAAGTTTTGAGAAAACATTTTTAGTTGTTAGCTTCTTGAAGTAAAGGCATTTACTTCAGACTGAGTTTCCATCTAAGTAAAATAAACATCAAGCTTGACCTCATTTAGTGTGGTAGTTGTACAGATTGTGTTTTCAGGTAACAAACTGTATATAATGATCAGAAGCTTCCAGTAACAAGTGCATTGGTTTTGTCTCTGTTTAGGAGAAATTGATACAAGATTCTCTTTCTGTGCAGTGGCTACTTTGGCTCTTTTGGTAAGCTTTGAATGTTGTATTGAAATGATTACTTGGCCATGAATAGAATGGAATTGAATAAGCATATTTTCTTTCTGTTTATAGGGCAAGCTTGATGCCATTAATGTGGAAAAGGCAATTGAATTTGTTTTATCCTGTATGAACTTTGATGGTGGATTTGGTTGCAGACCAGGTTCCGAATCCCATGCTGGGCAGGTAATTTAATATATTAATGTAGATTAAAATTTAGTGTCAGTTGAGAAGAATGTCCATAGAAATTTCGGTATCTGTTAATACAAATTAAATTAATTGGACATGGTATGTTATATAACAATTGCTTAATTACTAATTAAGGCTAGCATTTTGATAATAACTTGGTTTTATATACCTTCTCTTTAGTGGGTCTCTCTGACCCCATGCAAACATAAGTTTTATAAGCACCAAAATACATTTTCTTCATTTTTCCATTAATTTTTAATTACCTATGCCAATGAAAATATTTAATCTCTACCCACCCCGAGCTCTTTGTGGCAGAGAACATTGTGTTTATAAATAGTTGTGCAATACTTAGCCATGAAGGAAGTTTGAGAACATTTTGGATCCTGGTAATAGTATGCATGGATTACTAAGTGTTAAAAATATTAGATCAGAAAGTAAAACTTCAGGTATAAAGTGGAGTTTTAATAATTTGAGTAGTTTTTTTATCAGTTTTACTATCAAGGAATTACTATACACATGTACTTTATGTTTGTAATTTTAGATCTATTGTTGCACAGGATTCCTGGCTATTACTAGTCAGTTGCATCAAGTAAATTCTGATTTACTTGGTTGGTGGCTTTGTGAACGACAGTTACCTTCAGGAGGACTCAATGGAAGGCCAGAGAAGGTATTGTGCCTAAGCTATGTTCTACTAGCTTTATATATAATCTTAAGTGAATCTTGCTTCTTTGTCTTGCACATTTCAATATTTATTGCTCTTGTAAATTGAGCATGAATTTTCTTTTACCTTCCTCTGTTGGAATTTTTCAGTAATACATCCTAAAAAGACTGCCTCTGGGAAAAAACTCCTTGGGTTGTAATGCTCATTAGTCCTGGTATCCATCAGACACACCTGTATAAGAATCTCCAGGGGTGTGAAAGTACAATTGATTTTGACAAAGGATTGTGTGGGTTGGAGTTTTGTCTCCTTTTAACACTGGATTATCTTTAATTCTAAGCAGGCATTTTAAACACGAATGTTTCTGTATGTCCCTTGATTTTCTCCTTCCTGCTCCTTCACTAATTATTGTATTACTTAAGAGTGAGACTTAGCTATTATTAAATTGTTTCTAAAAACTAGAGAAGTAAAAGAGAATAAAATTGTGGCAACTTTTGTGATCTCTGTTTCTTCCTTAGTTACCAGATGTGTGCTATTCATGGTGGGTGTTGGCATCTCTAAAGATAATTGGAAGGCTTCATTGGATTGATAGAGAGAAACTTCGTAGTTTTATCTTAGCATGTCAAGATGAAGAAACAGGGGGATTTGCAGACAGGCCAGGAGATATGGCAAGTATATTTTTGCATAGTATATTTTTGCATAAGTTGTTTCATGCCATGGCTCATTGCATTTATAGGTCTAGAACTGGGTGTTGCTTTGAAAGCAATAATTTTTTTGGTGATGTATTTTAAAAGATATGAAATATATTGGACAATCCTACAGAAATTTGTTGCCTTTTGCCAACAAAATTAGTATATGGTAAAGGTCATGTATTTAAAAACAATTTGAAGTCTATATTTCAGTAACTTAAGCATAACACACACATAATTACTCTAATGTAAATATTATAGAAGATTATTGTATTATAGAAGATCATTTTGTAATTGTTCATGACTTTTTTTTAATAGGTGGATCCATTTCATACATTATTTGGAATTGCTGGATTGTCACTTTTAGGAGAAGAACAGATTAAACCCGTTAGTCCTGTTTTTTGCATGCCTGAAGAAGTGCTGCGGAGGGTGAATGTTCAGCCGGAGCTAGGGAGCTAGAGGCATGGAATTTGATCTAGGTTCAGAAGTTGACTCATACAATTTTGCCATCTCAACGTTTCTGTATTTGAAGTACTTGTTGAACTTAAAAATTATTGTTAAAACTTTGTATATTGTGTTAAATTAATTTTAATCATGTAATTATATATATATTGTAAAATAAAGACCTGTATTTTATTTTCCTTTCTAGATTTTCTTCTGAAATGCTCTTATTCTGACTAGAGTTTTTTTTTTTTTTTTTTTAATATACTTAAGTGTATCTGTTTTCCCTTACAGAGCAAAATTAAAAGAAAACCTCTTGGACGAGTTCTACTTGATTTCTTGCTCATGTGTTCACATATTCTGTAATAACAGATAAATCGTTTGTGTCAACAAGGATGTTAACTGACACCTGAATTAAAAGATGGATGAAACCAATGGCTTCTGCAACTTGGAAGTAATTTGTAGGTTTCTGAGCAAGGATCACTCTGAAGTGTTTAGAGGTTTAATTTAGGTTGACAATTCTTCATCTTAGAATGGGGTTGCAATTTGGACTGTACTTATTTTTTTAGCATTATATAGATCCAAATTACCCATAAGATTGTTAGATTTTTTTTTTTCTTTGTCTCAGTAAGGAAAAAGCTTAACAGATGAGTTGGGTTATTTGAACCCCTATTTCAAAAAGCCTAAAATGAGCAGAACTGTTGTCTAGAAGTTTACATCTCTGGTGAAAATAAGAGATTTTAATGAACGTTTTTCTTGGTGGAAGTTCAGATTTTCTAATACCCCATGCAATAGTTGTTACAGATTATAATAGAGTGTTCTTCAGGGCCTCCAGTCATTGCCTGGGGTAGAACTGTGCCTTGGGTAACTGTTACTTAGACTTAAGTCGGATGAATTTGGCAAGTGTAAATGAATCTCTTCTAATGGCACCTTTAGGGCATTACGCAGAGAATTTTATTTCCTCAGTCCGAGCATCCCTATTTTATTTATTTAATTTTATTTCTTCAGTCCGAGCTCGATGTTGGCACTATTGTACTCAAGTGAGTAAGGTGCCTGCATAGGTCTCTAAAGGTCAGTCAATCTTTCAAAGCTGCAGTCTGAACTTACTGTAGTTTGCTCTTAACTAATTTATATATGTACCAAAACCATAGTACTAAAAATTGCAGAATTGGGAACTGTTGTTAAACTATCTGAGAGAGCTAGCTAGGTTTTCCCTGAATGTACCATAGGCGCGTAGACCTGTGTGTACTATCTTGTGAGAACAAGGCCTTGTGGACCTTCCCTGTATTTGGTACTGAGGTTTAACCACTGTTTGCATTATGGTTTAGGCGGGTGTGAAGTGGTGGATTGCAGTTTTCACCAAACTTGATGTTTTGTAAAAGAATATCTGAGCTGCTTCGTGAGGAACGTAGAGGAAAACGAGACTCTACAAAATAGAATTAGCCAGGCTTAGTGGTGCGCACCTGCAGTTGGAGCTGCCAGAGCCTGAGGCAGGAGGGTCGCTTGAGCCCCAGAGTTTGACGCCACTGCGTTGTACTCTGGGCCACCTGGGCTCAAATTTTTTTTTTTTTTTTTTCAGGCTAGTGTGTTTGGGTGTTTGGGAAATGCTTAAAAGCACGCTGCATTTTGAGGTAAAGGAAGTGGGGTGCCGTCAGGATAATAGGGCTGCCAAATGTGGTCATCCAGGGGCCCTGAAGAATTCAGTTCAGCCTGATACCTCCGGGTTGAAGGTTATACCT